CAGAGATGTCCATGTCACAAAGCCAGAACCTGAGAATATGTTGCCTTATATGGCAGAAGGGACTTTGCAGCTGTGATTAAGGCTCTTGAGGTGGGGGGATGATCCTGGGTTGGCTGAGCAGGCCCAATGTAATCACAGGGGCCCTATAAGGAGGAGGCAGGAAGGTTAGAGTCGGAGAAGAAACAGAAGTGGGACAGATATTTGAAGATGCTACGCTGCTGGCTTTGGAGGTGAATGAAAGGGTCCTGAGCCAAGGAGCACAGGTGGCCTCCGGAGGCTAGAACAGGCAAGGGAATACAGCACTGCCAATCCCTTTTCAACTTGACCTTCAGAACTATCTGCAACAACAGGAATGTAATACACCAACACAAAACTCAGCTTTGTTTTTCCAAGGACTGGGGAACGAACCTACCTGCTCAGGATGCCAAAGGTGGCATAAGCCAAGGTGTGAGGTAAGATCTGAATGCGGAGTGGGGTCCAGAGCAGTGTGCAAGCCTGGGCCAGGGCAGACATGCCCAGCTTCTCCCAACAGATCAAACCCCGACAACTCTGGGAAGTGGGCAGGTCTAGCTCCCAGACACCTCTCGCCTCCAACACCCACATGCACTATTTCCCTCTTTCAGGTCACCTAGTATTATTATAGTTTTTGATTAAAATGTGATATTAATTAACACTAGAGTCCTGATAACTTATTGATTTTCCCTCCCATAGTCATGTGCATTAGAAAAAGAACATGACCACAAGAGATAATGCACACCCTAAAAGAATAAATCTCAGCCGAACCTTTCACAGGGAGAAGGCCCAGTGAAGATGAAGGCAGAGATAGAGGTGATACATCTACAAGTCAAAGACGCCAAAGTTGCCAGCCAAACACCAGAAGCTGGGGGAGGGGCACGGGACAGATTCTCTCAGCCTCAGAAGCAGTGGACCCTGCCAACACCTTGATCTTGGACATCTGGCCTCTGGAGCTGTGAGGCAGTAAGCCTCTGTTAATCCATGCAGTTTGTGGTACTCTCTTGCGATAACCCCAGCAAACGAGTGCGATTGCCTTCAGATGCTGGGCAGGCAGCTGAAATGAGTGAAGGGGGGTGGCCCGTGGGTCCTTCACACTGAGAGGGCTCTGGAAGCTAATCAACCTGACAGGCAGCCAGGATCAGCTGGCCTACAGGTGAGTGTGTTTGGGAGGCAGAGCCCACGGGCTCAGAAACCTGGGTTCCCGAGCAAGGACACCCACGAGGACAAGGAGGCCACCCACCCGAAGGGTAGAGCTAAACTCACCCTACCACACACCCAGAGTAGCTGAAACTCTGCAAGCAGCCAAGAATCCTGTGTGACCAGCCTCCTCTCCTGGATCCCCCCGACGTGTGGCATTCTCCGCCACCCCCAGCCTGCCACGGTCACCGGCATCTAGGAAACTCTCGGAATGGAAAGCAGCATCTGGGGCTGTCCTAGAACACCAGTCTTAAAAAGAGTTTGCAGAGCTGGACCTCTCCCTTCCTCTGCCCTTGCAGCCTCCTGGCAAAAAGGACTCGAGGTCAAGGGCGGCCTTCAGGCCCTGCAGTTCAACTTGGGAGCTGAAGCCTCCCAGGGAAGGGAGCTTCAGGGAAGGGAGGGATGGCAGGAGTCCTTTCCTAACAAAAGCAAGTCATTTGTCAGCTGGCAGCCTCGGCTCCACGTTTCCAGAGAGCTGGGACCAGGCCCAGGGAACGCATGCTTTCTTTATTTGAAGAAGGAAAAAAAGGAGTTCCCATGTGTGTCTCCCTTAGGGAGGCTGCCCACAAGGAGGAATGAGAGTTGGCTGGGAGAGATGGAAAGGTAATCTGTTTCACCTGTGAGACCAGTATTACCTGTGTGCCAAGCTCTGGGTTGGCAATCAGGTCAGATCAAATCTGATACCAGGCCCCAGTGCTCACTGGGCACAGAGGCTAGTTGCTTAATCATCGGGACCTGGGGGATGAAGCCTGAAGAAGCTTTGAAGATGCTTCCTCTTTCTTGGGGCGACTCTGAGTGGCAGGGTTACTGGGGCAGCTCTGTGACAAGAGACCCACTAGGTCAACAGCTACTCAAACAGTGGGAAACCTAGGGTAGGCTGAGCCTCCCCAGCAGAGGGGCGGGCCTCCTGGGTCTGCCTCTCAGCTCCTCTGGGATCTGGTCTGGCAGCTCTGACAAGGCCCTTCATCTCTCAGGGTTTCGGTTCCCCCAGCTGTCAAAGGGGTAAAAGCATCTCGCTCTTGCCCAATCCTGTCTCTTGAGCCAGGGATGCTGATGAGTGAGTTTCCGGAAATGACAGAGTTCTTTAGAGACGGGCTGGAGAGAGGCAGCTTGGGAGGGGGAAGGTGAATGACAAGAATGAGGGGGGCAGAGCAGAGATCAGAGGTGAAGGGGGCAGGCGGAGAGGCGGCAGGGAGGACAGAGAAGCCATTGTGTGATTTAGAACCGGGGCCAGAGGGCTTGGCCCTTCATAGCCCTCCCACTGCGCCCCCACCCCCCAGGCCGGATAAAGACTCAGCAGGCTGCCCTGCCTACCCTGGCCCACTAGGATTTTTTAGTCAACCGGCCCGCGCCCGGCGCCGCGACTCCCCCCGGAGCGCAGGGAGAGAGACCCTGTGGCAGGCGGGCTTTCTCACCGCGGACTCAGGCGCAGCCAAGTCCTCTCTTCCCTGTGCCTCAGTTTCCCATCAGGCTTCAAGGTTTAAGGCGTCGGCCTGTCAGGCCTGATGGAGTGCCCTCCCGACCGGGGAAGAAGGGGGAGGATGCCCTGACCGTCCCCGCAGCCACCTCCCTCCAAGGCTGAGACCTCAGGGGTCACCACCCCGCGTCCTCTAGGCGCCAAAGCCCAGACTCCGACCCCTTCTGGAGAGTAGGGGAGGGGAGGGAATGGAAGAGGAGGATGAGGGATCAGACCCAGCTCCCGCGCGGAACCCTTCTCTCCTGCCGCTGCTCCCGTCCCCGCATCGTGTGACCGCGGCACTGCAGCTGCAGCTCTGCCCTCCCCTCCCCGCGCCAATTCCTAAGGGGTGTGGGGAGGAGGGGGCCGCAGGTTCTAGACCTGACCTGGGCAGATGCGCACCGCGGCTCTGTTAGAAGGTGATGACGCCCCAACTCCCTCCCCTCGTTCTCAGTTTCGCGGAGTTTCTCGATCCGTGAGCGCGTCGCCGAGTCACCTTCCCGGAACGCGCTCGGGAAGCCCGGGACCCAGCCG